TTGGTAGTGGGCAGCTTGCTACCCCATCTGGACTCAGTATATATCCAAGGAAAGCAATGGCTATTTTGTGGAACTCGCACTTCTTCAGGTGCTGCTGTACCAACTTAATATGCTTAATGTGTTTTTCTAATGTTGAGGAATAAATCAAAATGTCATCAATGTAGGTTATGACCCTCTTGTTTAGCATGTCTGCGAAGGCCTCATTAACGAAAGCTTGGAACCTGATACTGATAGTTCTGGTAGAGAACTCCATTTTTGTCCCCTTCCCGGATATGGATGAAATTGTAGACGTTGTAGAAGTCAAGTTTTATTTAGTTCTTTGCGGAGCAGAGCAGTTTAGGTTGAGTGGCTTTGATTTTGCTGAATGTCTTCTTAGTGAAAGTAGATTAGATTGTGTTGATTTGTGAGGGTACACTTCTTAGAAAAGTAGAAATAGTTTTGAAAGTAACAAACCTGAAATTTGTTTCATTCCATATATTCAGACTTTCATTCCATATATATTCTGACTTTCATTCAATATATTCAAGTTTCATCCCATATATTCAGACTTTCATCCCATATATTCAGACTTTCATTCCATATATTCAAGTTTCATTCCAGATATTCTGACTTTCATTCAATATATTCAAACTTTAATGAAACTTGAATATATGGGATGAAAGTATGAATATATGGGTTGAAACTTGAATCAGGCAAGTGGATGATTGACATTACAGAGTTCACCGTTGTTTTGAAACGTGAATGGTAACTTACTGGCAAAATAAGTAACACTGTTGCTTGTGTGAATTTGCCTGTAGTTCTGGTAATTTTACGGCAAACTGATGTGTGGTAGATGCGCACATCTGAATTGTAATGTGCTGATCTAACCGCAGGAAAACTCGCTGCTGTTACATGTTCTACAGGCTCGGGCAACAGTGCTTCAGACTGATACAGAGCGGTTCGCAAAAAGGGAATAGCACACATTTTTGACAGGCGACTGCTTAAGAAATAGTGCTGATGAACTACAGCAATGTTTACTTTACAATGTTTATATGGTAATATGTTTTAGATCGTTTTAAGAATGCATATTTTATCTCCCTCATCTGGACTTGAATGAACAGCCTGCAAATAAGAGTTCCGGTGTATGTCTTGTTTCAGGGATTCCAGTCACAGGAAGGAAAGACAAAGGACATTATTTCACATATTATTCAATAAATAGATTTTACTAGTATCTGGGTTATTATAGTTAACTAGAACCATAAAAAGGTATGCGTTAGGCCCTGACAAGTACTGAATTGAGCTCTATTTTCTGTATTTTTGCACTTAAATTGTCAAAAACACACACAGTTATGTCAAGATGTCAGTTTTGGCATGTATTCAAGTAACAGTTGTACTTAAATGCTTAATTAATGCATTACAATTTAACCAAACTCATCAGATTTTAGTCAAATAAATCTACTGTATATTTAGTCGACTAAAATCGTATATTTAGTTGACTAAAACTAGACTAAAACTAAACAATTCAAATGACTAAAATATGTCTAAAACTATATGGCATTTTAGTCAAAAGACTAAAACTAAAACTAAATTTCCTGTCAAAATTAACACGGGTACTGTGTGAAATGTCTGAGATGATGAAAATCAAGATGACAGTATGTACACTCCAAACTGTTTGTATTGTTTGGAATATGTATATATATTCAGACTTTCATTCCATATATTCAAGTTTCATTCCAGATATTCTGACTTTCATTCAATATATTCAAGTTTCATTCCAGATATTCTGACTTTCATTCAATATATTCAAACTTTCATTCCAAATATTCTGACTTTCATTCAATATATTCAAACTTTCATTCCATATATTCAGACTTTCATTTCATATTTTAGTTGACTAAAATCTTATATTTAGTTGACTAAAACTAGACTAAAACTAAACAATTCAAATGACTAAAATATGTCTAAAACTATATGGCATTTTAGTCAAAAGACTAAAACTAAAACTAAATTTCCTGTCAAAATTAACACGGGTACTGTGTGAAATGTCTGAGATGATGAAAATCAAGATGACAGTATGTACACTCCAAACTGTTTGTATTGTTTGGAATATGGCCAGCTATTGCCAAAATGTTCTAGTTCAACAAAGTATTGGAAAATTTGAGGCAATGAATTGAAAGTCATTCAAATTAGAAAGCTATATTATTATTCATTAAGTACTGTCAAATTTGCATTTTAATTCCATACACTGCAAATGTCATTCTCTATATTCAAGTTTCAATTAATATATTCAAACCTTCATTCCATATATTTAAGTTTCATTCAATATATTCAAACTTTTATTCCATATATTCAAGTTTCATTCAATATATTCAAACTTTTATTCCATATATTCAAGTTTTATTCAATATATTCAAACTTTCATTCCATATATTCAAGTTTTGTTCCGTATATTCAGACTTTCATTCAATATATTCAAGTTTCCTTCTATATATTCAGACTTTAATTCCATATATTCAAGTTTCATTCCATATATTCAGAATTTCATTCAATATATTTAATAATTTCCTGAATGGCGTGCCATATATATATATATATTTCCACCAAATAAAACAGAAATAGTGATGTCTTTTTTATTCAAAATGGCAAATTAAGACAAAAGGCAAGTAGTTTTCCATCACTGACTTTTTAACATGTTGTAATTATTTACACAGGTAATGTTATCCTCTAACCTTGTCTGCAAATATGCAGTTCCCAGGAATTAGTCATAAAACTAATTAATTGTCTAAAAGACTTGACTTATTGTAGCATGACTATACAGTACTGCTGGTAAAGAAGCCCTCATGCTGGGAATTACAGAATATCAAAACCCACCATCTGATATCAAACCAGACATGATCACTTCTTATTATCTTTTATATTTCTACTGCAAAGTTATTACATTTAACTGCAATCACATTTCTAACTTTAAAAAAAAATTTAATCTAACTTAATTTTAATTTCATTTAACTTAAATCTAAATTAAAAATCAGAGATTCCCTTGATAAGACACCTCTAAGAATAACAATACATAGATTGTTACTGTAACACTAATACAAACCCAAGAATGCTAAGAATGAAAAAGAAAACTACATGAAGGTAAAGACATGAGGAGAAAGAACAATAATGAAAGAACATCATTGACTGGACTGTGCGTATACTCTCATCTTGTGACTCTCCATCACTGCAGCTCTGGGTCATTTGAACAGATATGACCCAACAAGCACGATTCTCCGACAGCCATGCTCAAAGAATATCTCCCTCTTGCTTGTCCTAATTTGTATATAATGAATAGACATTTATTCTCACAGGATCCACATGTGATCACAAGATGAGGAACTGCAAGAGACAGGATACAAATTTACAAATCCATCAAGAATAATATTTTTCTACAGTTGTGAATTTAATGTAAAACTTGGCAATGATGTTGACTGAAGAGAATCTCAATACAAAAAGAATCCAAGGAAAACAAAAGAAAAATAAAAGACTTAAAATAATGTGGTTGCACAAGCATACCCCTTCTTAGTAGAAAAACCTTTTGCTTAATGAAGCAGACAGCATTTTTTCATTAGTCTATCACCTTAGCACATCTTGATTTGTCAGTTTTTATGGCTTTTCCTTTTTAAAGAGCTTCAGATTTATCAAATTGTCAGAGGATCTTTCTGAGTATAGCCCTCTTCAAGTCAATCCAAAAGTTTTTTATTTATTTATTTGTTTTTCTTTTAATTGGATTTGGGTCTGGGCTCTGACTGGGCTTTTCTAAAATGTTCTTCTTATGAAGTCATTCCTTTGTTGATTTTGATTTGTGTTTGAGATTATTATCATTCTGAAAAATGAAAACCCTCTTCATCTTCAAATTTTGAATGGAGGACTTTCATTATAAGTTTTCATTATGGTTATTTTCCATCAATTTTTGACAGATGATCTGTTTATCTTTTTCTTTCTTTTTCCTTTTTTGAATGTCATTGTGGTGTCACATTGTCTCCCCTTGTTTATGATGGCTTGCATGGCAACCCAACCCATCATTTGTAATCTCTAATTGCGACCAAAATAATGCTAAAATAATACTACAAAACAATCAGATTTTTTTTATTATTCAGGGTTAATTAGCATCACGTAATCCTGAGTATTTTCAAAATTTTGAATTTGATTAGTTAATTTTTTAGTGTATCATCCCCCGTAATAAAAAGGTGTGCACACTTATGTTACCAGGTAATATTAGGTTTTTTCCCCTAAAAGTTTCTATTTATTTGTTATATGCATTTTGTTGGTGGAAAAATATCTGACATGATTTTACTTGGATTTATTTTTATACAGATTTTAAACAGGGGTGTGTCTATGGCGGTGTGTAGTTTTATAACCACTGTGTGTTAGCATTTAGAGTGAAAAACAGGTAAAATGGGAACTGGTAAAGTGGTACGCCTAAGTTTAACCATCTTTATTATTATGTGTATTTTTTCTGTTACTAAAACTTAACAGTATATGTGTTCCATTTTTTTTCCTATATTCAGTGAATGATTATGCATGTACGAGATTGTGTATAACCTGTTGCAAAAGCACACAGGTGCAGATAATGATAATTAATTTTGAAAGAAAACTGGTAAAATGGCTAAAGCAAAATCATGTAACAGTCATAACATTAATTAAATCAATAATGTTCTAAAAGAATAATCATTTCATTAATCTCCATGCAACAAGATCAGTGACAACGTTTTTGTCTGCAGTTTTTTTTGTTAATATTCTAAGTCCTGTATTCATCATTATGTAATCAGAAGATTTGCAAGATCCCAAGGAAGAGAGGCTGCTTAACAGTGATGCATTGTAACAATTTATTCGTAAAACATTCCTAAACTACAGCCCTCTATCGGATTACTTCAGGGTGTGGGACTGGGAGGAACCTGTTATGCACATCAGTGATGTCATACATTGGGGGTTTGGTTTGGGGTGCTGATATTGAAGCAAGACGCCTCATGGGTCTCAAAGAAAAGCTGGATCAGTGACTGTGGTGTTGTAGTCATCAATGCATACCCTGAAGATGTGGACGGCTCTTGTCTTTCTAATTCTTACATTCTCATCAGGATCGCTTTCACGTGAGTATATCTGTACTTTATATACAGAAAAACATTCATAGGAATCGCTGATTGTACAAAATTGGAAAGAATAAAATAGGTACATTAAAGAAATACCTCACAGTAAATAATTAATCAAGATTTGTAAAACTTTATATATCTTCTTTTAGAATCTTTGGATTAAATCCACAGCTGAAAAAGAGTTGCATTGTTTTAAATACCAATACTTTAAACAGTTCAATTTATCACAAATGTAATAGCCACAAGGCAGTCCAACACGAAAACAGATGTAGAAAAGCAGTTGAACAAGCTTTAAAACTATACTGCAGCCCTCCAATGTAGCCTTTTCATAATGAGCAATCTTGGCAAACTTTGACATCAGAACTAGTAGTTGTATGACCAGTATGATTAATGCTTTAAAGAGGCTTAAGGGTAACTATTTAAGGATAATTGGCCAGTCTTTGATTTTATATTTGGTGTTGGTGCATGATGTCAAATGTTAAAGAATGGTGCTGGCATCACCCGGTCACGGCTTTGATTTCCTGGAAATGTATTGTTTTGGATAAAAAATATTTGCCAAATGAATAAAATGTGAATGTAATACATCTTAAAACACACATAATAAACCACATATAATTGCTTATCAATTGCAATCAGATACACAAACATTCAGATAAATGAAAGTTTGACTATATGTCAGAACTCTGTGGGATCTTAACTCATTCCAGCAGTGGGGATTACAGTGGTACCCTCAGCTGAAAGTCACATGAAAAGGATTGAGTGGGATTGTGGAGGTCGTGTGACTCTATTTGCCAACCCTCACATTCTCTTGCTTTTTTCATTGTAGACCTTTTCTCTTTGTTCACTTATAAACTTAAGCCAACCTTAAGCAACTGAACTACCCTATTACTTACTTCAACTACCTTATGAAATTACATTTAATATTATACTCTATATAATTTAGAGTCTAAATATCTATTATACCATTAATCTAATCTGTCATCTCATGTAGTCATATATTTTTCTAATATGCACCATTTTAGTGTTTGTAGGGTTGATTATAGTGTAGAAGCAAGGGAATTAAATCCAGATAAATATGCACTTTACACATCTAATGATTTCTAATAACTGGGCCTGTTGGGAGACTGAAAAATCATGAAATGGAGAGTTTCCCCGTAGATGGGTTTTAAAGAAGACCTGTGTGATTTGAAGAAAGAAATTGACTTTATTAATGAATTACTCATTACTGAAAACTTATTTTAATGCTCTTTCACAAAGGAGACCTTTACTATTTCTTTTCATCATTCTACTAGAATCCAGAACACGCTTTGCACATTATCGTTCATGGAACTCACAGATGTATCCAGTTTGGAGGGATGGAGATCCTAGATACAGAGACTGTTGGAAAGGTATTTGAGCACATACACACATACACATTTAATTGAATTCTAAAAATGTTAAAGCACAAGACAATGAGCTCCATGGATTTTTTTTTTCAGTTTCCAAGGGAAAAAATTAAGAAGGAATGAGAAACTATTTGGTTTGCATATGAATAAATTATTATATATGATAATGATACAAGTGGAAATAATTTGAGATAATTGTTTATTCTCTTTTAAACTATGTCTGGAAATCTTTTTTGTGTGTGTGTGCCTGACGAAGGTCTTTGACTGAAATGTTGCCCATTGTAACTTTTTCTAAATAAAGGGAGAATAACAGTGTGCAGATCTTTTTTGTATTATTTGATTTATTTTTTGATCTTGCACCTGGATGTGCATACCTTGACCTTTTTTTTTTTTTATGTGGAAATCGTTTTTTGTCATAGGTGGAGAGGTGACATTTGAAGTCAGAAGTGATTCTCCTACACTGACAGGAGCCAAAGCCACTTTCAACATTAATGTTCACTTCCCTCAGAACCAGACAGTCCTTCCTGATGGACAGGTGGTGTGGGCAAGAAACTGTAAAATTAATGGTTAGTTATATAAAATTCCATAATACAATACATTTACATTATATATGATTTTATTCTTGCACTACCATTAATAAAAATTGTGTAATGTATTACAAACCAATACTGAGTATATTTATACATTATTTATATTTTGTTTAAATATTTTTTTATGTATACATCACTTGTTATTGCTTGAAATAAGCGTTTTTTAAATATGTTATGAATTTGAATGTTATCTGCACATAAAAGAAAAAATAATTTGTGTGTGTGTGTGTGTGTGTCTTTTAGGAACATCATATACTATGGGCCAGACTGTATACCCTGAGTCCAATATACCTCAAGAATGGGCAGGTGTCTTTCCTGACAGGACACCCTTCACTAAGATCTCCAACAAAAAGCCTCGGTTTGTCTATGTATGGAAAACATGGGGTAAGAGCGAGTTTAAAAATTTCCAAAGGGTGCCGCGACTAAAAAAAGGTTGGGAAACACTGGTCTAATATATAGGGGAGAGCAGGGTGAGTTGAGTCGGTTTTTACTTACTCTGTGTTTAAAGTGTGAACATGACAGTAATGGGTCCAACTTAAATGTGTACATATTTAATATGGAAATGTAGTGCATCCTTGGGAATAATCACTTTTAATCTAAAATAAACTGCTTTCAAAATATGGCTTTCCAAAAAAAAAAGTGGTCTCTTGGCGCAACTTGTCCCCAGTGATGGGTAAATTGAGCCTAGGGAGAGGGTAAGTCCAGCCACATGGAGTAAAACTGAACATTTTCACCTCGTGCTATATCAAAGGAAGAGAAATTCAATAAAAATGACTTCTTAAAACCTATGTGTGAGCCTTGTGATGGACTGGAGCCTTGTGATGACCAAGATGCTGGGTTAGGCTCCAGCTCTCTGCGACCCTAATAAGGACAAAGAGGTCTGGATAATAGAATGGATGGATGACTTTAAAGTTTTATTTAAAGATACAGTTCACAACTTTGAAGGCATTTTTTAAAATTATTTAAAATTTTCAGAACAAAATAGTTTAAATTGAATAATTACAAAATAATGAATAAATGAATGAATGAATGAATGAATGGACTGCAAGTACAGAACTGGGCTAATAGTACTCAACATCCCACTTATAAATGTTGCAGGTAAATACAAGAGGGTAAGTCCAGCCACATGGAGTAAAACTGAACATTTTCACCTCGTGCTATATCAAAGGAAGAGAAATTCAATAAAAATGACTTCTTAAAACCTATGTGTGAGCCTTGTGATGGACTGGAGCCTTGTGATGACCAAGATGCTGGGTTAGGCTCCAGCTCTCTGCGACCCTAATAAGGACAAAGAGGTCTGGATAATAGAATGGATGGATGACTTTAAAGTTTTATTTAAAGATACAGTTCACAACTTTGAAGGCATTTTTTAAAATTATTTAAAATTTTCAGAACAAAATACAGTTTAAATTGAATAATTAAAAAATAATGAATAAATGAATGAATGAATGAATGAATGAATGAATGGACTGCAAGTACAGAACTGGGCTAATAGTACTCAACATCCCACTTATAAATGTTGCAGGTAAATACAGTTTCATAAAAATTTCAATCTATTTTCACAAACTATTTAAAATGTATTACTTAAAATCAAGTTCAAAACAAATAACAAAATCAAAAATGTTTTGCCTAAAATGAATGAAATACAACGTAGAAATACAGTAAAATAATACTTTATAATCAAAAGAAGGGGTAAGCCACTGGCTTTTAAAAAATCACTTGAACAGCAAAAAGCAGATTTTTTTTTTTACTTAAATGTAGTTACCAATCATCCCATTGGCCTCTCTCCATCACAGGGTGAGTAAAATGGATAACTCTTCACATATCTGTGGTCACATCACCAATTTTGTTTAAGGTTGCCTAGAAACAAGGGGTGGCTCAACTTCCCCACAGGAACATACACATTTAGTTGAGAGATGGATTTGTAGCAAATTAGCTCAAAAGTTAAATTAATTAATTAATTAATTACAATTATTTATATCAGCTGCCAGTCGTAACTGTAGCAAAATCAATATTGCCATCAACGAATCCGTTCGTCCGACGAACATTCAGTGTCATTTCATATCAACTCACAGAAAATAACTTTCTTACAGTACTAATGCATTAGCAAGATCGGCTCGTTAAATTGAGCTGACAGAATCAGAAACGCATGTAATTCGTGCACAAAAGTTTTATTAATTAAACACTAACACATAAACTAGTTTAACAAACATATACACACACTTACACATGCATACATGGGGAAAAACGGGAAGTACAAGTGAATGAAACCAGAAACAGGTAATGAAGCTATGAAAAGAGTCGTTTAACCATCTGCACAAAACCATCAGCGCCGTTTTACAATGGGGTCTGCAGCTTATACTAAACCTCTAAACCTTTTGTTTAGTTAAATGTACGGCTCATTTGATCAGAGTGGGTAAAGGTACATAAGGCAGTTTTATGTACCTTTATACTATATTATACTAATATAACAAGCATACAATGCATGTTATGAGGAGGTGGTATGCACCAGTGGATGGTGAACTAAACAAGGGATATTTTGATATCAAACACGGTACCAATAGGGTTACATTATCTAATAATTCTATCATAAGACATGCATAAACCAGTATACAATACAAAAGACAATATACAAAAACAGTAATAATATGCACAATGTCCTGGGGATATGCATGTTCATTCATAGAAAGGTTTTCCTACGAATTAAAGAGAAGTCATTCTTTTCTGTGGGCAGTATGTGGCTGTTTCAAAGTGAATTAAGTGAGAGTAAAACTCTGAGTTCCATTGGGCCATAAAAGCTATCTTATCTGGCTGAGGTATCCTGGCTGCTATGGTAACCAGTGGTCTGGAGGGTTGTTCACAGGCATCCAGGTACCCAGTCAGGATATTGAGTGAGGGGTCTGTTGGATTATTTCTTGGTCTGATTTGTCCAGACGTTACAGAATAACATATGCAAGTAGGACACACGCTTGGATCAACAACCTATGAGGACTTTAGGGTTAGACTTGGGCAGGCTTGTTCAACATTATTATTAACCATTTAATTTAAAATCATTTTGATTTTAGGTGTAGCTTGGTGTTAGGGACAGGGTTAGGGCAACTGTGGTGGCTGAATTTTAGTTACTCTTGCATTGTTTCTCTCTTTCAGGAAAATATTGGCAGGTGGCCGATGGTCCCTCCTCTCTACTGACAATTGAAACAGACAATATGCCTCTTGGTTCTTACACCATGGATTTGGTGATTTATCACTGCCGTGGCAAAGACAAGTTTGTTCCCCTTGGTTATGCATCTACCCAGTTCTCCATCACTGGTGAGTAGTTTGATAACTGCACATATATCTAGAGATCCCTTATCATCTCTATTCTTTAGGAAAAAAAACATTAAGCCTATTTTGTTTACCTTATGTTGTAGTAAGAATTCATGCCATTAAACCACTGCCTTGAACTGAACTGGAGAGTAATCAGTGTAACTGGAGAGTAAACCAATGTTGTCATTTACTGTATACTGTATATCCCACAAGAACCTAATGAAACTTCCTCTTCTTCTCTAGACCAGATTCCTTTTACAGTAATATTATCTCAGGTTGGTGACATCAATCAGGGTGACCAAAGCTTTATCCAGAACAGAGCTGTGTCCTTCAGCATTAACTTGCATGACCCTAGCCAATATCTCAGTGGGTCAGACATCACCTTCAACTGGGATTTTGGTGACAATAGTGGAACTCTCATTTCTCGGGAAACCACTGTTACCCACACATACCTTACAACTGGTTCCTTCAGGCCACAGGTGGTTTTGATGGCAGCTATCTCAACTAGTTGTCAGCTCAATCCAACTCCAGCAGCCACTGGTGTACCCCCTGTTCCCGTAACAGGTAGAATTTCATATTGTATTCAAAGCTCATATTTCATGGCATTTAAAAGATAATTCTCAGTTCAATAAGTGTTTTGAAGAGATTTCCAAAAGATTTATCAGTCGGTGCCTTCTCCTTTTTGACAGATGAAGCAACAGCAGTGGAAAACATTGTGCTGACTGTTTCTCCTCAATCGGTTGATGTTGTTCCCTTGGCAGAGGAAGAAGTTGCACCTGATGTCACTGTAGTTGCCAATGACTTGGCAGTGTCAGCAACTGACGCAGAGGCAGAATTAGATAATACTGCTCAGGAGGTGCCCACTGCTGCTGGAGACACTGCTGTGGCAGAAGCTGACAATACTGCTGCAGTCATGTTAGCCACACCTACAGCTGTTGAGGCTGAACCTGCGACAGAAGTTCCTGCAGCTGACTCGGCCCCAGAAGGAGGCGAGATTATAATCAATCTGGCGGCCACAGTTCTCCCAGAACCCCCTGCTGCTGTAGTTGAAACAACCTCTGTTCAGACACTTATAGAAAGTGTGGCACTGACTGGTGATGCAATAATCATTAACACCCCTGAGGCAGTGGTCACAGATGTCATAGCATCTGTTATACCTGTAGCAGAAGACATAGAAGCAGTTAATGAAGCTGCTGCTGGAGTCAGCGAGGCAACCGAAGCCATCAGTGGTGAAAAACATTTATATAGACAGCCATAACTTAAAAGAAATCCATTACCAATTAATTGTATCATATATTTAATGTATTTGTATTGGTGCTTTAATTGCAGGCGTAACTAGTATACCTGAGGCAACAGTGAGTGAATTAGAAGCTGAACTGGTGGCAGGAACTGAAGCAACCCAGGCCGCTCTAATCATTGCAAAGCGGCAAGCACCAGAAATGCCGGCAGAAAAAAACTGTATGATTTATCGTTATGGCTCCTTCTCTACAACTCTTACAGTAGTCCGTGAGTATTTTTTGAATTTATTTCTTTACTTTTTAAATGTATTTAAACAATAATACTAGACCTGAATATTGATCTTTTGGGCATCATTGTTCTCAAAGAGGAAAAATAAAAAAGAAAGAAAGAAAGAAATGCTTTAAATTTTTATATTGTATGACTGAAAAAAATTCAACAAGTTGTTGTTGTTGTTGTTGTTCTTCTTCTTCTTCTTCTATGGCAGTCCATAGAACCATATGGTAAAAAGTTGTGAAATTTGGCACACAGATAGAGGACAGTCTGAACATTAACGACACCAAATTTTAAGTCTCTTAACTCAAACCCGCTAGCGCCACCGCTTGTCCAAATTTGCACTCACGCTAGTGCTAATAACCTTTGAGCCGTAAGGGCTAGAAATTTTTTTCCTCTGATTCCTTGACAATTCAAGATGATTCAAATGCAAGTTTAAAAAAATGTAAACCAAGTTAAATAAGTCATATTACTAATGATTGAATAGATTTTTTTTTAGCCAGTTTGAGTAAATCCACCTTAAAATGTCTTTAATTACTCATTGTTGCTTTTGGTCTGATCCTTCCAGCCCTGCTTGCTCCTCATTCTGCCTCTGTTGTGCTTGACCCCTTAATTGCTGCTTGCAGCTATATTTGATCCTTATATTCCAACCAACACGAACATGGCTTCACTTCAGCATTACTGGCCTGGCTGGCTTAACTGTCAAAAATGTTTCATCTATAACCTCATGGCTGGAATGGACAACCACTGTACTAATGCTTAACAGGCTTTCAAACAGCCACAAAAATATACATCCACTTGAAAACATAGAACTCTATATTATAAACTGAACCAATCCTAAATTGTTAACTTGTAAATGTGTACAGCATTATTCAACAATTATTTTTGGGAGTTTCTAGATTATTTAAAGTTGTAAAGTAAGATGGTTAGAGTGAAATTTAGCACATGGCTTCAGCAGACAGGTTGGCTATGTGATGAAAAATAGAAATACAGCACACCCTAATTAAGAGAATCCATGTATCATTCGTTCAATCATTTTATGATTTAATATTAAAAGTAGAAAAATTAGAAAACGGCTCATTTTTCTTTTCTTTTTTTTCCAAAAAGGTTAGTAATTGAGTCTACTTAGTAATTGAATCTACGATATATCCCAGAATCTGACCCACCTAAATTTATGGTCAGAAGCCACTACTGCTTTCACACATATTATGTTGTCTTAACATATTTTTTAAATAAATAATAAATAACATATTTTTTAATATAAACACTTAATAGTGTATTGATAAGCACACAATTGTTAGGGATGCACATGGCCGTAACGAAGGTTTGAAAATTAGTGAGGTTTGGGGTGGGGTTAAGAATTGTGCTATTATGACACCTACAAATACAACTCATTATATACACTACGAAGTTTAAAAGAGGCAGACATGTAGATTCTTGTGGAAGATGTTTTCTCTGTTTTGGGGAATGGACATTGTTAAATCAGACCATATTTATTGCATCAAAATTTTTTAATACTTTACTATAGGTTAGGGGTGGATAATTTTATCATTTGTTTATTATTCATGCAACAATATTTATTACTGTAATTACTATTAATACTACTATTAATAGTTTTCATTAGTAATCATTGCTATATGATAATAACTTTAAGAACCTTCATGGAAATTTGTATTCTATAATATATTTTCCTAATGACAAAATGAATGATTTATATTCTACAAACATTTTCCCCCATTTTTATCACGGAATAAGGCAGAATAGTTCTATACTGTAATAAATGCTATGTCAACTAGCACTGCATTATTCATATACTTTATTTATTACATGGAGATGACTTGAAAACCACACATAAACCATTGTGTGTTTATTGTATTCACATTTCCTCAGTCAAAATGTTTCTGCTTTTTATTCAGCTTAGCTACAGCATAGCTGGATGCCTTTGTCCATATTAGGGATTTCCTGCCTGGCATGTCATAAGTTAATTCTATGAGTCCGTTTTGAACTTTCTGCGTGAGAGCGCCATCCATCTTCGAGTATGAATGAAACAGACATTGCAGGAGAGTATTTGTGGAGCTTTGTATTGTTTGTAACCTCTTTTTGAATACAAATATAGACTATCTTGTCTCTTTGCATTTAAATCTAGGTTTATAATATTTTGTTTGGTTACGACAGTCAAGACGATGAAACTCTCTCCAAGATGATTCAGTGTTTCTATCACTATACTTGATCTGTAGATAAAGAGCAATGGTTTTGCATAAAAGGACTTTATCTTGCTGGAGTTTAGTGCTGTTTCTAAATCATGTTACTTTCTACCAGGTGTCTGTTAGATCACAACACTGGAGTAGAGAGCACTAATTGTTCTCCACTCGCACAGTAACTGAAATTTAAAACCGTTAAAAGAAAAGACTCTATCACACAGATTTAATACACTACGCATAAATATGTATTTCCTTTGAACTTTTCTATGCGGAGCGCTGCGCGCTGTGACGCCATGTTGCTTCAAGCGTGTCATTCTGCGCACGGGATGCGCATAAGCACTTTGAGCCGCACTGTAATGGAGCCTTTCATTTTAGAATACTTTTGTGCAATGAAAGATTGATAGCCTTTCATGTTCTGTCCTATCTATCATATGTTGTTGCCTCATTACAGTGCTATACATGTCTTTTAATTTTATAGTATATATTTATATACGAATATATTTACTTGTTTTTCATGAATGTATTTTACAATACAAAGAGCAGTGTGTAACATTTTACTAGATTTAGTCCTACACTTATTCACTTTTATTTGTTCCCCACTAAATAATGTTTTTTCACTAAATGTTTAGATTTTATAAAATTATTGTGCACTCATCATTATTCTACAGTAGTAACTTTTGCTGCTGAATTATCCACTAACCTAGTTTAATAACAGTATTTTGTCATAGATTATGATTATATATTTTTTAATTTGTTATTTTTCTGTATAATGAAGTTTTCTATATTTAGTAGATTGTGTTTAACACACAAAACAGTGATGATCAGGTCAACACACAGAGGTATAGATATCTACACTGATTTTTTTTTAAAAACTGCTAGTATCGGATTGGTATCGGTATCGGCCGATACTCAGAATTTTTGGTATCAGATCGGATCAGTTCTGAAAAAATGGCATCAGTGACTGTCTACACGTGTTTAATATTCTCTACATATATGTTTTCCCACTTCAGAGGGAATAGAGAGTGTTGAGATTGTGGAGGTGAATAATGTGGTGATTCTGGCCACAGAGCTGGAGCAGAATGCTGTAGATCTTACAGTCACATGTCAGGGAAGGTAAATATTCCTTCGATATGATTTATTTTATAGACTGTATATAGTCTTTCCTGTTCTTAGCTGTTACTGGTTATAATAGTCTTACACTGGTAATAATGATGACTGTGGTTGAACAAGAATATGCAAGTTTATTATTATTAATTATTTTTTTATGCCAGCCTGCCCAATCAAGTGTGCACCGTGGTATCCGATGCAGACTGCACAAGCCCTGTTCAGGACCTACAGTGTAATGCGGTGACACCAACCTCTGAGTGTCAGATGGTGCTGCGACAATTTTTCAACAACTCGGGCACCTTCTGTATCAACGTGTCTCTGACCAATGATGTCAGCTTGGCTGTAACCAGTGCAAAGCTCAGTGTGGCTATAGGCAAGTGTCATAAATTCAAAGCATATCTAAAATAAAATGTATTTTCCTGAACATACCCTATAACCTCACTACTTCACAACTTCTCTTGTTAAAACTAGACACAAATTCATCAAGGAACACAGCTGGAGCAACACTGGGAGTCCTTGTTTTTATTTGTGCATTGTGGGCCATTGCTTTTTCATACAAGTAAGGCACCAATACACATATGGGTTTCATCAAAATATTAAGAATATCTTATTGTATGCTGCCTAGTTAAATGTAAACAAAGTTTATGTACATTAAAGTAACCCTCTATATGTATTTTTTTATATCCAGGCGGTTTAAGGAGTACCATCCACTGAGAGAAGATAATACAAGCAGCAGCTCTGGAAGAAGCTCAGTGCTTTTAATGCTGTGGAACCTTCTGAGCCGGAGATCCACTGCAGAGAGCCGCCCGCTCCTACTTGGGCGAGTGGTGTGAAAAGCTGTCCACTTCTGCTTTGAGGCATATTGCAAAGTCTGTACAATCTCTCAATAAGAGAATGAGGGCCTCATTGTACTGTAATAACAAAAATGTTATATGTAATATGCCTCACATTATCTAAATGATGTTTTATTGTATGTGGCAGTTGCTGAATAATTACAGTGTGTTGTGTGTCGTCATAAAAAATTGCACATATTTCCTGTTAATGGTTAGCTTTTCTTGAGTTGCAATAATCTGACTTATTCCCCTTCAGTATTTGTTACATTCCTAAGTGTCAGTCAAGAGATATAGGGTTGTAATTTTATCAATTAAAAATATAGCGCAGTGCAAGGGGCAATGCAAAATGGTGAAAAACCAAGTAGTTTACTTACATTATTTACAGCACTCACCCCTTAACTAACAGTTATATGGATAATAGGGATTGTGGCTGGGAGCATCTTCAGTTATTAAAATGTAAATGTAATCATTCTATAAGCAACCCAAGTAAACTGCTTGATAGGAATATTGTCTTATTTAAAATCATTTGATAATATTCAGGTTATTACAGCCCACAAAGACATTGTCAGCTGTTCTTCAAATAATCTGTTCAACTAAAAGCAAAAGTTTAAAGAAAAGCCTTACCCCTGTTCAACATTTATGCAACATTAAGAAGCTTTATGAAGTAAATTTATATAAACATTTAACTATGATGTAAATTTATATTAACGTTTAACCATTAATAATTAACAAATTATGTATTTTGCCCAATTACCTTTGTAGAACTACCTTTCCATTACTATATTCTAATAATTTTATTCAACTCTATTGTATTTAGAGCAGTGCTTCTCAAACCTGTCTAGACCCCCAACCACTGCACATTTTGGATGTCTTCCTCCTCTAACACACCTCATTGAACTCATTAGTAGAGATTGCAAACTCCCAAATGGATTTTTCTGATTTGAGAAACATGCAAAATGTGCAGTGGTGGGGATCTTCAGGACAGGTTTGAGAAGAACTAATTTAGAGCCTAAACATAATTAGCCTTTTCAACAAACCCTGTGTTAGTTTGATATCAACCCAAAAGGTCTGATGTTTTATTTATAAATAATAATAGCCACACTAATGTCTTATTACCCCTAAATAAAAACATTTCCTGACTCTTCTCAACTTTTTGTCTGGTTCTGTTAAAAACAATCTTGCTTGAAGTAATCACAGTGACAAACTCATGAGATGAAGCTAAAATATCAAATAAGTTATATTTTTGGGTTTTTACAGTGATTTGTGAACTTGTGACAGGACTCAGGTTTTATCGCTGTCTTCTCTGCTCTGTTTATTTTTGTTTTTCCCCTTTTACTTAGTCTGCCTCTCTTGTGTGGAACATATTCAATAACTATGGTGACACAATAGAAACCTGCAGGTAACACAGGAAACAGGAACTAAACACAGGAAACTAGAACACAGGAACCATAGAATGAAATGAAAATCAAAATAAGAGTCCTTGAACAGAAATGAACATGATGTGACAACACCCAAAATACTTTAGCAACTTAGACTGTCTGTGTGTGTCTAACAGTATCTGACTATCTGATCGTAGTAATCTCTAATGTCTAACTAGAGCCACCTAGTAACATGCTAGGAACTTGCTATTGGCATATGTTTAATCTTTTCTTTTTCAACTGAGGAAATTCCACAGATCTGATAGTCCGCATTTGTAGTTCCTTTGCTAAAATGGGGCAGCTCTTCTTTATTAGATAATTATAGACCTATTTACAAGCTTTGTATTTTGTCAAAACATTTGGAAAGTCTTATTAGTGAACAATTGATACAGTAAATACCCATAAAGTTCCGTCTATCAGCCAATCAGGAATCTGAAAAAAGCATAGCACCACTACAACTGTTATAAAAGTTTAAATGATCTTGTGGAAATTAAAACATCATTGTGTATGTTATACTGTTAGCTAGACTTAATTGATAAAACTTGATAATCCATCATTTCTATCAAGTTTAACACCTTGGTTTAAAGGTGTTAAACTTTTAACTTTTAATTTATAGTGAAATTACTTTAAAAGTGTCTGGAATGCAATAAAGTAATTTTAAAGCTGTTTTAAAGCATTTGCTGCATGGATAAAAAAAATAGGCTAATGAATAATTCACATCATACAAAATTGCGTTGCAGCAAATCCTTTAAATTTTAAGGTGTTCAGAACAGAGCAACATAAAAAAAAGTGGAAAAAAGATGGGCTAGGGCCTATATTTGAGGCCCGTGCAGGGCTCTAATCCACTTCATCCAGCGCTGTTTTGTTCTCATCTGTGAGCATGCTCTTGATATATGTGTTTTACCATTTTGTTGAGTTTAAAACGTGTGACACATTTGTTCTGCTCTCACTGATCATTTGGATCATTAGGTGTGCAAATGTAGGCTATAATTGCCTTTTCATTATTTTTTCAGTTTTATTTAAATTTGTAGTTAAAATATCTCAAAATAAATGTATTTTAAAGTTTAGAATTAGACAGCCTTTGCACACAGGCTTACGCTGGTAACTCATCAGTGGACTTTCCTCGTCAGTATAGGCTATATTTTTTCACACTTTTCTCATTCTATATTTCTGACGTTCCAAAAGCGCCTCCTACTAGCAGAGAATGAATGTTCATTTTCAATAATCCAGTATGTAGATTTTGTTCAGATCAATGCGAAAATTCACCTATAACCCCGTTTTAAATTAATATAATAATTCATACTTCTGACTCACCCCTGGTTTAAATGCTCAATTGTGAGGTTTATCATTTTATAATTTTAGTTTTTGTGAAAACCTGTATCTCAACTGTAAATCAGTTGCTATTTCGTGGTCTACAACATGAAAGAAAGCCATTATAACATGTACATGAAAAATGTAGAAACATTGGACACAACTATGGGGCACCATTGTGCAGCAGCAAGCATCACAACAAAAAAGGAACCTCAAGGTTGATCTAGGAAAATGTGTGCAAATGTATAGGGCCCCATTCCTATATTTTGCCTGGGGCCCCCAATTCACTAAATCCGCCCCTGTGTGTACTAGAACATCTAGGCATAAAAACAGTGATATCTTCAGGCCATCTCCACCTTAAATAACTAACACACCAATGTATGGCCTGCTTTTTGTAACAATTCATAAATCAGTGCTCTTGTGGCGTGATATGTAAATACATATTTTTATTTTTATTCATACAGCTATATAGCACATAATACACACATCTGTACCTAAATTGTCAGATCTAATGTAAGTTACTTCATTGTTTTTTATTTTTTTATTTTATTATTTTTTTTAAATAAATTTTTACTTATGGTAAATGTTCTATTTTCTTCTTTTTCTTGTGTTATATAAAGTGACACTGAAAGTGACATGACATGTGGCCAAGTATGGTGTCCCGACCCATACTCATAATTTGTGCTCTGCATTTAACCCATCCAAGTGCACACAGACAGCAGTGAGTAGTGAACATGCACACACCCCACTTTTGGCTTTCGCAATAGGGGGTTCGGTGACTTGCTGAAGGGCACGTCAGTCATGGGTAATGAAGGTGGGCTCTCACTCCCCCCCACCTACAACTCCTGCCAGTTCTGAGACTCAAACTCTCAACCTTCGGATTACAAGTCTGACTTTCTAATCTTTAGGCCACAACTGCCCCCATACATATATTGTATGCATGTACCCAGTGCTCCTGGAAACCACAACAAATTCCTTGTGTGTTTGTGAACTCTTGGCGAATAAAGCTCATTCTGATTTTAATAAATTAATTCATTACATTGATAATGTAAAAATACAAATTAAATTTTTTTTATTTTTAAGTGTCAGTAATGTTTATTTAACCTGGAACATGTGTTAATATTAACAATTAATATAACTTAACATTAAGTTAACATTAAGTATAACTAACTTTTACATACAAATGTATTGTCTATCCAAAGCTATTAAAGGGATAGTTCAGCCAAAAATGATTGTCATCCGTTTAAGCACATATTTTGTTCTCTTTTTTTTTTCAGATTACAGTTAGGGTGCTTCTAAATCGGAAGGCTACATCCTAGAAGACAGCCTTCAGTGGTGTTTGATGACATGGCAGCTGTGGAATGCAGCCTTTCAAGTTTCCTTCAAAAAATAAACTTCAAACATATGCCAACCTGCAATGATGCAAGTGTCGAAGTCAAGGTAAACAAGTAATGACGTTGCTCTCATAGGAACACTCCGTCTTCTTTAAATGCAAACCTGGAGTTTTTATTGTGCTATCTCAGCATAAAACCTCGACCTTGTCAGGCTGATCCAATTCTGTAAAGCTGGATTATGCCATACCACGCTTTTGCCATGACAACAAACTGTGGCTCAAAAACCCGCACATCCAACATATGGAAGTAATTTACCAATGATATATTCAGAAGATTTAGCTTGTTTAATTACTGTTTTGATTTAAACCGGTTTTGTGAATACATGGTTCCTGATATTACAACTCCCTACCCAGGACCGAAAGTCTCTGATGGTTTTCATTGAAATAACTGCCTTAAAGCTTTAAGTCAAACAAATGACTTGAGGGTTAATGGTCAGTCTCGCTTTGCCTGACTGAAACAAAATAAATGTGTGGACCTTTTACATTGGCAGAGCACAAAGCTTTCCATGGTCCACAGTCATAACATGTGGACAGACTTTAACAAAATACTCCTTGCATTGGCATTCAGCAGCATTTGCTGAAATTGTCTGCCTTGCCAGGACATCCCTGTGCTAAATAGAAGAATGAGATTAAGATGAGTTTTAGGTAAAAATCATGGTCCTTGTGATTCAAGTTATAATTTTCCGTTTCTTGCACAGAATGTTGACAGAACGTTTCAGTTCATAAGACCTCAATATATTAAATATAAAAAGTCACCTAAATCTTGAATGGTCCAAGGGTGAGTAAATTAACATCAAATTTTCATTTTTGGGTGAACTATCCCCTTAAGGGGTTCTATTTTGCACTTTTTACAAGATGTAATGGTCTTAGGTGTCCCCAGAATATGTATATTGGAGTTTCAACTCAAAATAGTAACATTGTAAAGTTACAAAATTGTAACTTATATTATATAAGAAAATAAATTTATGGTTGTTTCTTTGCTTTCAAACAAACCATAGAGCTCTTATTTTGGCACAACATGACATACTTCTCTTTTCAAAAGGTATCTCTTTTGTTGACAACATTTATAAATTCTCATTACAAACTTGATGTCAGTCACATACACAGACACATGGAACAGTCAGGTAAGTTGCAGTGACAATGGGCTTTATTATGTAGAAGAGCAGAAGATGAAGATGGCAGGAGAAAGCAAGCATAAACAGTACAGATAT